TAGAGCCTGTCTGTAATTAACATTGCTACGGGTAAAAACTTCTAAAGAAAACACAAGGTGTTGTCACGTGATTGAAAATGAAACAATTTTCCTGCAAGCATTGTGTGGGGGAGGTGTGGCTGGGGCCACATAAACAGAAATAAAAGTGATTTAACTCATGAATGGCAGAGAATTGAGCAGTAAGACTTCAGAGGCATGATCTATACACAAAAAACACTTCATTAAGCCAAAGTTTTGGTTTCCTTTCACATTTGAAACTCACTTTGAATTCTCACTTTAGTGAAAAGCTTTTTGAAATAAAGTTCCACTGCTTAATCCCTTAAGGACACAACATGTGTGACATGTCATGATTCCCTTTTATTCCAGAAGTTTGGTCCTTAAGGGGTTAAACATCCTAAGATTTCTCTGGCGTTACATCTCTGCCACAGATAAGACCAAAACACTTGAAGATTTATTTGTATTCGAAAACCATCACAAAGGCTCTAAAGAGTATTATGCTGCACTGGCCCACTAGTTCAAGGAAATAACTTGTTACGCCTCTTGATGAGTTAGTTTGTCTACATTTCTAATGGCAAGATCATGGCAACCTCTAGGATAGACGCCACCATGGCTTCACATGAACCGACCTGCAAAGTGGACACCTGTTGACCCACTGTTTCTATTCTGTCTTATGTCCCATCCGTAAGTACAGAAGCACAATTTATAGGGTGTGTATGTATGTGTGTGTATATGTGTGTGTGTGTGTGTGTGTGTGTATATATATATATATATATATATATATAATATTTTATTTTTATTTTTTTTATAACATCCTATTGTAATATGATATACACAATTTTTGGGACTTGGCTAAACATATGTAAAGGGATAAAAATATAGTGAAGTACAGTAAAGACACGGTTAACTCTGCTCTCCAGAAATGCTCTCACAGGAATTGTAGGAGTTTAGTCCCCTGCGGTGCCTCCTCTGATTAAGGCAGGGGGGCTATCACATTCTTGACATCCTTCCACCAATTGTATGGTCCAAAATATTTTCTGGAGGGGGAGAGGGGAAATTTCATTGCCAAGCATAACTGTAACCCAACATACATGTTGCATCTCCGTCATGTGGGTGGATTGAGTTGCCTACCTGTATGCATGCCGTAAATTTTCCAGGTTTCCAGGCTTGCATTTTATTTTAAAGTAGAAAAATGTCTTCCCATTTAACACATTTGTAATTGTTTTTTAATTACTCTAACTACATATATTTATTTTTAGGGCACCTGATAGGCCCAGTCCTATGCCATTCCTTTTGCAACTACATTGGCTTTCCAGCTATTTTCTCAGCACTGGACCACCCCCGTTGTGCAACCATTCTTATGTTTTATTTTCTTGGGGTTGCACTTTTCTTTCTGATGCTCTACCCCATGACTGATCCTGTGTTGTATGGGGACATTCCAGTTTGTCACTTACTGGAAAAGGGATCTGCAGAATACCACTCAATTTGCTCTTGACAACACCAGCAAATGCAGCTTTGATTACTTCTCACAACTGAAGGGAGAAAGTACATAATTTTTACCATTTGAAAGTGTTCAAGACTTGATTAAGCTAAATGAACTTCTTTTGATTCACTGGTGAATCTCTTACCATGAGTCGTGGGGCAAACTGACAAAGATGATGGGTGCATTGAGTGTCTTTAAAATCTCAAATTTTCTACTGAATGTTTAGAAAATATCTATTCTAATATGGTCCAGCAATGTAGAGAAAGAACGTATCTTCACTATGCACTCAGTTTTTGGGTGTACTGCTGCTCTTTCAAATCAAGCTGTTTGTATTGCCGGGCATGCCTCACAGTTAAGTCGTGTATATTTTTGGAACCAAAATTTTATTCCATAGTTGTCTATTTTTGTACATATTGTGTGGACCCAGAATTAAATTATTTTCATGTTTGGTGAACACAGTGATCATTTTCTTCAGCACAGAATATGTGTAACATTCTCACTCGTATATCTACAGAAAGCTCAAAATGTATGTTCTGGTCTTCGCACATTTAATGTCTACATGACAGCATGATTTTGTTTATTCATGCTAAATGAACATTGTTACAGACACTCCATGTAACACACCTATACAATATATAAAATATTTTTTCTTCTTAATTGAAAAGCTCATAATCTTTAAGCAATATACTTTGTATTTTACCTGAGCTTTTCAATGCGAGTGCACAAAAACCTTAAGGCATCTTTTTATATCTCTATTTTTGTAGAGTGCTAAACATTTTACTTGAACAAGTAATGTGGACCGCTGTTTGTTCTGGATCCACAGACGGTCACATGCTTGATAATTAGTTGTTTGGTACTGTAGGATGACACTGAGCAGTCTAGAAATTGGCATATTGAGAATTAAGTAAGCATTGAATGGCTATTTTGGTACAGTATATTATCTGGTCTGATTTTAGGTGGAGTGCTTTGTTACTAAACATAGTGAAATATGTCTACACTTATTTAATATATAGCAAGTTTGTTAATTTTATTGAGAAATAATGGCAAAATCTAGAAGCTTGAATCTTATATTCAACTTGGACTAGTGAAAAATCCTGATTCTCTACTTGTACCTTGAACACAACTCTAACATTGCTCAAGAAAATTAAAAAAAAAAAATTAAATACAGGTGTGTTTGTGTATGTAAATATACACACATGTGTTTAAATTACTAATCATCTCCTCAATGTACATTTGCTATGGTTGGTCATATTTTGAAACCCTTAATGAATTATTTAGCAGGAGCTTTTCCATCTAAATAAAGCTGGATCTGTTCTGGACTTATGTTGGTTATGAAGTTGACCTCATGACCTTTTTCTACTCTAGGGGGATTTGTATGTTTACAATAGCATGTCTATTACACAATCTCTGGTTTTATAGTGAAGTTTAAAGAAACCTACTCAGAATTTGAATGTAAGCATCAAATCCTAATATAGCCTTCAAGAAAAACAGGTACACCTGGAGTTATTACTGCTAACCTCTGACTTTTGAGATATAGATAGAATATATATATATTTATATTCTCTCTAATTTGCCAAAGCCCAACACTCAAGTATCTCACCTTTTGTTTCTCTGCCTCTGTGTTCTGTAGCCCACACACAATTGCAAATGAGATAGCACTCACATGACTTTTGTTACATCACAACACACTAGCTTTACGTGTCGGTTAAGGCCTGTGCAGTAAAAGTGTAAAACAGTTTATTGCATTTCATCAGCACCAAGGCTCCCTCGGTGCAGCTTAGCTCTCCGTCTCTCACGACTGTTAAATTTAAGGCTCCTAAGCTCCTCCTAGAGGAGCATTGGGGATTTAATGCACATTTGCGGCTTCCCCATAGGAAAGCATCTAGTCATTGCTCTTCTATGAGGGCTTCTGCGTTGTGTGACAGTTTTTTACTGTCAGCCTGTCACTGTGGAATCACCTCTAGTGACGGTCGTATTGACAGCTGCAAGAGGTGTACTTAACCCTGCAATGTAAACACCGCCTTATAAAAAATAAAATTAAAGGCAATGTTTTACATTGCAGGGTAAAAAAAGGGAGGGTTACTGTATCCAGAGATTCAGATGAAGTGGTCTGGGTAACTATAGTGTCCCTTTAGGTGGGCAGAAATGTGGACACTTTGTTTTAGCTATTGTGTTGCTATGTAACGATAAAAAAAAATTGTACTGTTTGAAACATCCTCTCATTTGCCACTATAAAAATACAATTATTTATTTAGTATTTGTAGAGGGGGGGGGGGGATGAGGTGACATTTACTTGCCTGTGAACTATGTAAACTAACTTCTGAATTTATTTGCATCAAATTGTTTCAAATGCTCCCAAAATAGCCCTCAATAGCTCAGGAGATATTTAACCAAATAAGTAAAAATGTCCCTTTTAGCTATGCAAACAGCAAGCAGATACAAAGCTTAAAAAGAGGTGGGTGGGAGTTTCCTCTAACTGTAGACATACGTATGATGGTTAATATTCTTAATGGAAGTAGCAGCAGCTGCTCACATTTTCACCCATGGTTAGACCATTTGTAACAGTATGTTTGTTGGGGGCGGTGTTCAGCAGATCTACTAATATTGTCCAGCCCAACCTCATCACCCATATACAGTAGGTTAAGAACTAAAACTATTAGGAGTCCAGGGCTCCTTCCATCCACTATATAGATGGGATCTACTTAAAGAGCAGCAGTCTCTCTTTACTTTTTTTTTTTTTTTTTAGTGCTGTATATTGATATTTTTGAGAGAGTCCTTATTTTAAATCTGGTTTAGCAGCTAGGTTTGGTCTCTTGTTACTTGACCAATTGCTTTTCAACCTAACTTGACTGCTGTTGTGACATCAGTCAGATAAAAATGTGAAATTCAAGGAAAACAAAACACGACACCGCATAAAACAATATATAATGAATTTTGAAAACTGTCAGACATCAGGGAGATGAATCCGTCCCTTGGAAAATTTGAGACAACTTAAATTTGTAAATGTCTGCATTCCACATGTACATTCCAGATGTATATTCTACCACTTTTCAGGTTTCAGGGATTTTTTTTTTTTTCCTCTTATAAGCAGACAGTGAATTCTTCTGCTTCCCGACTACAATTTGGAGAAAATCCCTCAGTTGTAATTTCAGGTATTATTCTGTTAGGCACATGATAGCAATACGCAAACAGAAATAGAAACCCTATAAATCTCTGCAATTGCTAATTCTCTACGTGAGTATATAGCGAATAACAACTTTGTTTCCTGTGCTGTGTTCTGTATTCATTATTCTGTCAAATTGTTTAAAATATACCCTATGTGCACAAAGTTCACTTGTTAATTCTGTTCGTTTGTTAATACTGCTGTATACTTTTAAGTTTACATAGGGTATTTTGTTTCTTTTAATAATTCCTTAAATAAATTAATTTAACTTTGGAAAATTCTAATCCTGAAATGAAACCTTTTTTATGGTACAGTAGAGGAGATATAAATTGTCATGTCCATACACTGGTATGTCTGCTATATGCAATTAGTTACAATTTTATATTGAGGAAGATAATTGTTCTTTAGTTTATAATTTGACTAACTGGCAGAGTGGGAATAAAATAAAAAAGCAAATTGTTTTCTACTGCAATGTATGGCCAAACCTAACTTTCAATACCGCATTCTAGTTATTTCCAAAAGCATAATTTACGGTGTGTAGATTTAAACTTCTTTCTATTTCCCTTGAATTCTTTAAGAAGTGAAAAAGCAAATGAGTCACATATCTATAGGGCATTTCAGCTCAGTATTTTACATCTTAAAAGGATAACTAATTGAACTATATTTTCATATCTTTGTAGTATAATATACTGTATCAACCTTTTTATTAATGTACTTAATTTGTGTTTTGGGAGATATTTTAATTTTTATATTTTTATTTTTTTTAAATATCACTTTGCTACTTTTACACTTGCCCTGACAGCCATTTTATGCACTTTGGGTCAAACTGTCTCTTATGACGGCTAATGCTCATTCTCCAAAAGTCCTATTAAGAGATGGTACATAGAGATTAAAGGATAACTGTCATTTGAAAATGTTGAATATCTTAATATAATCTTTCCCAAGGGGCATTTTATGACTGGTTATGCAGAATAAAGTAATGCGTAGTTTAAAATGAAACTTGTTATTTAGATGGAGTATGGGTAAAACTGAAACCGTGAAAGACTGTCTTAAAAAAAAAAAAAAAAAAAAAAAATTTTTAATCTTTTGGTGCTTATTGCTTACACTGGAATGCTGCTGAGAATGGGTATATACAGAAGAAAAGATCTCTAATATATTTTGAAAGCTAATATTTATAGATTTTCAAAACAAGCAGGTTTCTCATTACAAAGTAGAAACCAAATTGCAAAATGTATAACAATACATTCTGTATGGGGGGCAGGGGAGATGGAGGTGTTTATAAGAAATGAGGAGAATGACGACAAAGAATGTCTGTAAATGTTGATTGCTAAAATGTTGTTTTTGTGAAATAAAAACTTTATCTCCAGTTTGTTTTAAATTTTACTTCTATTTAAATGTGTGTAATTCTTGATATCTAAAGCTATGTTTTACGTTTTTACAAACATGCAATTGCATGTTGAAAAATCCTATCAGACACAGCATAAGTAATGTGTGTCTGTTCTGCATCCTCCATGCATAATCGCAGCAATACAACGAAGTCAGCAGAGAGAATTGGGTTGCAGTGTTGAGCCCCCATTTAAGAGAAAAACCACAAACCCTTATCTCTATAAATAATGATCACGTGTGACAGAATGTTTGTAAATGAAGGGGCTGCGGCTGTAAACATGATCTGCACCTCTGGTGGGTGCAGGCCTCATTAATTGCTCCCGGCACTGTCAGCGTGAAGGCTGGAAACTTCAATGGCAGTTCTGCACAGGAGCAGTAGTCTCCCCCACAAGAGGTGCATGCCACACACTCCCACACTTGACTGCCAGGGTTGATAGCCTCTCCCTGCAGAAAGCTAACTGAGCAATGTGCCTTGCTTATGCCACCTAATATTACTCTTAAAAGGTGTATGGTGTTAAATCCATCTAAATTGCTTCACCTGGATATGCTACTCTAACTGATCTGTTTTAAATCCATCCAAGTACACTGGTAAGTAGCTTGGAATTCCACTGCAATGGTCCTAAGTGTAAATACACTTTGTTTTGTACAGTTTGTCTTGTGTAAGGAAGTAATTAACCCTTACAAGTTTTAAGATGGGTAGCTCTGAAAGTGCCCAAGGGGGATTACGGGAACAGGCTACAGCATTAACTACTCGGGTATTATACAATGCTAAGCCTGGGACTCCTACCAAGGTGTACGCTAGGGCAGAGTATTCGGCTTTAGATAAGAGAATTTATGCCACCTATTGTTACTCTTAAAAGGTGTATGGTGTTAAATCCATCTACATTGCTTCCCCTGGATATGCTACTCTAACTGATCTGTTTTAAATCCATCCAAGTACACTGGTAAGTAGCTTGGAATCAGTTAGAGTAGCATATACGAACACAGCATAAAATGGTAAAGGATAAGAACAGCTTCATGTCGGTGGATCAGTCGGAGTGACTTGTTTACGGTGACTGGCGTGTATCCACGTGGCTTTTCCTTCTAGTTACACCGAGGTAGCCGTAGTCAAGAGCAGTTGGAATGGACCGTCAAAGCGTGGTTCAAGTCCTTTCCTCACATGCCTCTTTATCACCAGGCTGCAGTTTGTGAGTTGCAGAATCAGAGTCTGGATCTGGAATAGAATCAAAGACTTGTTTATGCACCCTGCCTAATCTTTGGTGTAGGGCCTGAACATAGGCAGTCATACTACCATGCTGCATCTGGAGGGTTTGGGGAAAATAGAAGCCTGTCTTTGGGGCACATCCAAACAGGATCTCAAAAGGGGATAGGCCATGTCTGGAATTGGGGGTGAATCTCATAGAAAAGAGTGCTAGGGGAAGGCATTCAGTCCAGGGCTTCCCTGTGTCTTGCATGGCTTTTGCAATCCTGTTCTTTAAGGTGCCATTTGCCCTTTTTACTTTCCCACTACTCTGGGGGTGATAGGGAGTGTGGAAGGCCTGACTGATCCCTAAGGCTTTCATAATTTCTTGCATTATTTCCCCAGTGAAATGGCTACCTCTGTCACTTTCAATCACTTTAGGTACTCCATATCTACATACCAGTTCCTTCAGAAGCTTACTTGCTGTGACCTTCGTTGTGGCTTTCAACACTGGGTAGGCCTCAGGCCAACCTGAAAAGAGATTAATGCACACCAACACATATTCATACACTCCTAGTTTAGGTAGTTGAATATAGTCTATCTGCAGTCTTTGAAATGGGTAAAGTGGCCTTGGTGTGTGCTTACTTGGTGTTTTGACAGCCTCTCCTGGATTGTTTCTAGCACAAATCATGCAAGCTTGGGTGTGTTTAGCTGCTACAACAGTAAATCCGGGTGCTACCCAATGGGTGTTTACTATGCTGTTCATGTGCATCTTGGATAGATGTGTAGGTCCATGGGCAATCTGGGCCATCATGGGGTACAACACTCGTAGCAAACACAGTCTTTTACCTATCCTCTACATTCTGTCATCATTGGGTTCTGCATCTTGTTCCCTCCAGAGGTCATGTTCTTCCTTGCTTGCTTGTCTTTGTAAACTCAACAGTATATTGTAGTCAACGGCGTCATCTGTAAGAACAACTTGTAGGAAGGTATTACCTGTAGAGGGATGAACTTGAATTGCTGCTTGCTTGGCAGCTTCGTCTGCTTTGTGGTTTCCTCTTGAGATTTCATTTGTGATCTTCACGTGAGCTGCCACCTTGATGATGCCTTCTTGAGTGGGTAGCAGGATAGCGTCCATAAGTGCACTCAGGGCTTCAGAGTTCTTGATTGGAGTTCCTGCTGAGGTGAGAAAATCACGAGCCCGCCATATAGGGCCAAAATCATGGGCTATACCAAAAGCATAGCGAGAGTCTGTATAAATATTAGCAGTCTTACAAGAAGCCATTTTACACGCTTCAGCAAGTGCCTTCAGCTCTGCCTCCTGTGCAGAGCAGTGAGGAGCGAGTGGTTCAGCTTTTATTACCTCATGTGCAGAAACTACAGCATATCCAGTGTGGAAATTACCCTTCTCATCAGCATATCTGGAACCATCTGCAAAAAACTCAATCTGCATTAGATAATGGAGAATCAATTACATGCAAAAAACCTGCTGTTTCTTGTGCCATTAGTGCTGCACAATCATGGGGTACCTGGGCATCCGCTAACTCATCTGGTGAAAGTGAATTTACAAAAAGATCAGAAGTACAAGTACCATTCCCACTATCCCCACTCCCCTCTTTTAAATCCAGGGGAAGCAATGTAGATGGATTTAACACCATACACCTTTTAAGAGTAACATTAGGTGGCATAAGCAAGGCACATTGCATTCTGAGATGCCTTGCAGTATGTATGTGTTTTGGTTGCACTTGTGAGAGTATGCTGTTGATATGCGGTGTGTGTATATGGTCACCGGATTATCTAAAACAATATCAGTGGCTTTGTCCAGGAGGGCAGTAACAGCTGCCACTGCCCTAACACATGAGGGGGCACCCCTGACAACAGGGTCCAATCTGGTGGAGTAGTAAGCTATTGGTCTTTGTTTACCACCATGGTCCTGTGTAAGGACATGATTGCTCAGTACAGAACAGGTTAAAATTATTTCTGTAATCTGGGAGACCCAGTGCCGGGGCTGACGTTACGAGTAACTTAAGGGTATAGAAGGCATTTTCTGCCGCATGGGTTAATTTAAATGGTTTGTTTTCGTTGGCAAGACAATCATACAGTGGTTGCATGTAGATAGCTACGGAACGCAGCCAAGGAAGGCAGTAAGATATCAAACCGAGGAATGTACGAACCTGGGCTAGACTGCGCGGGGGGGGGGAGTGGTTAATATTTTGAACTGCAGTCTTTCTACTTTCCGTGAGATGTTTTATGCCCTGGGAAATGCAATGTCCTAGGAAAATAACTTTCTCTACACATGCTTGCAGTTTTGTTTTTGCCTGCTTTTGCCAGGAATTTCAGCAAGGAAAGAGTGTTTACAATACAAGATTCCATATTATCGCAATATGTCTGTAATGTATTTGCTCAGTTAGCACACCTATAGGGGGGAGACCGATAAGGGAAAAACTATGGTGGAGAAATCAGAGGGTGAAATACTCAAGGTTATTTATTAGACTCTGTTTGTTTTTCACAAATTAAATCTTAATGTGAAATGCCTTAAAGTCACTATAGGCAATCTGGAAATTTTTCCAGATCATTTATATTTTTTTATCTCTATGTTCTATGTTTCTAGCAGAAAATGGAATAATGAAGATTATACATATACACACATATAATCCTAGACCTATCTATACACACACACGTTGGTCCTTCCTTGCTTGCTTGTCTTTGTAAACTCAACAGTATATTGTAGTCAACGGCGTCATCTGTAAGAACAACTTGTAGGAAGGTATATATATATAGATTTGTCTGATTATATATGTGTAGCCCCTTAGTGACCA